CTGCAATTTTAATTAAGCGCTGCTTCATACGATAGTATGATAACATTACCAGATATATACGAGGTGTTACACTTACACTCACCTTCCACCTTCCCTTATACTCACCTTCCACCTTCCTTTCTAACTATTCATATTTTTTCTTAATTATTTTTTAATTTAATAATTCTATGTAAGTCATGAAATACTCAATGATTATCGAATATTGTGTACATTCTCTTATACAAAATAAATATTATTTTGTCAACAAAAGGACAGATACCATATTTTTTGTTAGATTCAATTAAAAACAATACGTAGAATCACTCTTTTAAAATCCCGCCCTATCCTTTGGTCAACCATGATCACTCTCTTTAAGGGTTGAGGTCAGTAGTTAGACCATGCATGCACGTTGATCCCTCTAACTCCCAAAACCTGGTCGGGTCTCGATGACTTCCGGTTCAAAAGGGTCAGAGGGGGTCACTGTATTTTTTTTTTAAAAAAAAATTCACACTAGACGACGTCATTTTGTCAGAAAAAAATTGCTGCTAACCTAAATCCCAGACGTCTTCACTTCGATGGTTCCTCCTCCTCTCCTTCGCCGTGGTGGTTACTGCTCTTCTCCCCCTCTTCGTCGCGTCACCGCCTCTCTTGTGCTGTGGTGGTTCTTCTCTTCACTAATGCACTCTTTTTCTTGGTTGGTTTCTATGCTCTGAGCATATCTGGTATTATTGTATTACTGAGCAATATGGTTTAATTGTATTACTGAGCAATATGGTTTAAAGTTTTCTCTAACCCTGATGTATTGACACTCATATATATCAAGAAGACAGTAGATAAAAAGTGCTGTAAATTAAGACTTTTAAATTGTATCACAATAATAGTGAATTGAAAAATTGACAAGGAGGGTCTGAATTTGATGATACAACTTTTTATTAACTCCATTGGAATATGTGTTTTATACTATGATATTTTGATACTTTAATTAACTTGTGGATATAATTGGTTGAATTATGTTAAATATATTTTGAATATTTGATTATTGGTGGTTTAATTTTTTTGAATTTTTCATATATGAGATATATTTATATTTTTTTAATATATAAAATCGAGTCAGTGAAGTGACTCTATAACCTCCGATTGAACCCGTGACCCTTAACCTTAACCGAGTTGATGGTCGGGTCGAATTTTTAAACACTGCTTAAAATCAAACATTAAGGAATTTAATCGATAAAAATAAAAACTCTAGGTAAATTGAAAGAATGCTATGCTTCAAGGCACTTCATAGAAAGTTTTACCTTTAAGTTTATGAACCATAATATGTGACTAGGTTAGCAACATGAATTGCGTGAACAAACTTTACCGAAAGAGTGTAGACAAAACCAAGTGAGTTGTAACCTTTAGGTTTGGGTACGCATCCTGTGAAGTTTTTAAGGTTTGCTTTTGCTACAAACTACAAAGTGTAAAACATTTTTCTATACTTATTAAATGATACTTCATTAAATGAGAAAGGCGTTAGTTAATGAAATCTATTATGTTGTTTCTTAAACTCTCAAATTATTATTTAGCATATATAAGAATTTTTTTAATGGTAGATAAATCATGCCTAATTAAAAATTACATCAATTGAATCTGAATATGGTCAAAACTATTTGAAAAATGAATTTTTTTAATAATATACTATATATATATGACGGGATTTATGTTATAAAATTAATTTTATCTCTTGCACACTTTTACGTGTGAAGTTCATATTATCATTTTCTCTTTCTCCTCTTCACATAGCATTACACACGGCCCACATTTTATATATAGGAAATAAAATTATCGCATACAATACGAAAAACAATAGTTCTATATATAATTTACCTATAATATAAAACTTTACGTTTATATACTGAATCAAACTAATCTTAATTGGTAAAGGTCAAGGATATGCAGATATGCAAACAGATTAAGGAAGTTTAATCCCTTCAAATACTCTCAATCTTATTTTCTATTTCCCTATTCCCCGCGCTCTCCTTACCCAAATTATAGTTAATTTTATATTTAAAAGAAAAATATATTATATAATTTTTTGAAATCTACGTTTGTTTATTGAATTAAAGTACATTTATATAGAAATGACTTAATTTTTTATTTTATCCCCCCTTAAAAAATCAACACGTCATTTTATTTTATTTTTAAAAAATTCAAGTTATATTTTTTATTCTTTTATATATCCCTTTTTTCAATTTTAAACATACTATTTTAATTTATGCCATTTTTAACTTAATTTAGAAAATCTATTGCAATACTCACCATAAGAGAATAGTTGACAGTTGACGCTTGAGCCAATTGACGATGCAAAGCGGTGAATTTTGGACTTTGTTTTGGGAGTGTTTTCCTTTTCTGTTTTTGTTATATTTTTTCAATTGAGCAAACATTTCGTTTTCATTATTCTAAAATAAAATTTATCAGTTTAGTCTTTAATAAAATATCAATTTAATTTAAAAATTAATATTGCAAACTAATTTCTTATATGGATTGATTTTTTCTACGGTCAATGTACATAACTTATCTACATTGAATGCAAATTGACATCATTTTGAGGCGAAAATTAAGGTATTTTGGTAATTATAATTTTTTTTAGGGTTATAATAGTCTTTTTTATTATAATTTTTTAATTTTTTTAACTCAAAATAATATCATTTTGAGAGATAATATAAATAATTTATCTACATTCGCTCTAAAAACGCTAAAGTCTTATTATATTTATTATCAAAGACTAAACCAAACTCATAGTACTTATATTTTTTTTTTTTAAAAATATCTATTTTGTTATAAAAAAAAAAAATATCTATTTCCAAAAAAAATAAAAAAATATATCTATTCTTGGTCAATTCAAAGATAACACAATTATTTAAAAAGAAAGAAAGAAAGAAAGAAAGATAACACATTTAATTTTTTCACGTGTCCCAAAAACGAGCAAGTGCGGAGCGTGCTTTTCTGTGTTGAGAATTAAGAACTAAAAAACAATTCAATTGTAAAACCAATTAAATATTGAACACTAAAGTATTCTAAATGTTATTGATTTACTCTAATTATTATAATAGCTACAGTTTAGAAGTTCTGAGTACAAAAATTATATTATTTCTCAAAAAACGAAAATAATCTATGGAGTAACTAGTACTATTATTTCTTTAGAAAAGATATAAAATTTGGGAATATATTTTTAATATTATATGCGATAAAATTATATAATGCAACAGGAAAAAAAAAAGTAGAACTCCCTAAGTAAAGAGAGAAAAAATAAATAAATAAATTTTATCCACTTTTATATGTACTGAGATAAAATATTTCATGTAACATAAAAGATATATTTTCCATAAAAATTTTGTAACCAAAATAAACGAGTAATTTTGTCTTTTTTAACATAAACCTATATAGTAACATAAATTTAAATCAAATTAGATTGCTCCGTTGGTGCCTGTAAGTTGAATAGATGGAGTGAAAATATTTGTTTGGTTCTTCTCAGTGTTATTTAGGGAAATATTTAAAACGTAAATCATGAATCCACACTCTCCGTAAAAGGTAAGTATGGTTTATCAAAAAATTATTTACAAATTTTTTTCACAAATTTTTGTAAATTACACTATGTATTTTTGGAAAAAACATAATGTAATGAAATGTTCTCCCAAAAGTACGTAATATAGTTTGTAAGAGTTTATAAACGAAAAATTTGTAAATATAATCCTTCCGATTATGTTAATAATAATAAGGAAAAAATATCTATCATTTAAAAGGATGGTCCTTATAAATGAACGTAATGTTTTTTTTTTTCAAATTTTAAATTATACATTTTTTCCTTTACTTTCTCTCCCATAATTTGTTCCATTATCTCTCTTAAAAGAATATAAGTGTGTGTCATTTACACTTTTCCCTAATAATGATAACAAGTTAAACTTAAGATTTGTTTTCCCCCTCTTGCCCATGCTTTATTACTGTCTTTCTCTGTCTATGCTGTCTTCTCTGCTTTTGCAATTAATATTCCTTCCCCGCACCAACACCACCTTCCATCTACAACACCCCTTTCCTTATTATTAACTCTCTCTCTCTCTCTCTCTCTCTCTCTGTGTGTGTGTCTTTCTGCTCCCATTTCGCTAGTCTGATCCTCAACCTCTATTCTACATTGTAAGAAAGGTGATGAATGTACTTCTAACACTTCCACCCTCACCTTAATTTTCCCACTTTCGAAGCATTAAATTGTTTTTTCCCATTGAGATTAAGTGCATGCTTAATTGCCCGGTAACAAGACACTGCTTTCATCTAATACACAGTGGGTATGAATTTGTTTGTTTTTTTATTTTGCTAACAAAAACCGCCAATGCAGTATCTGCATGTTGAGTTTCACTGCCTTCATATACTTTTTTTAAACTGAAATAATTAAAGAGGTTTTTTTTTTATTATTATTTGGGGTTAAACGCTGTTCAGTTTTGATACTTACTTCTGAGTTCTGGCCCATGGTCTTTTGAATGTTTGTAATTGCATTTTTAGGTTTAGTTATTTGGAGTTTCTTAAAAATTTCTGTTCTTTTTCCTTTGTGTTCTTTTGGCATCACACATTTTCTACACCCAAATCAGTTTTTCACTTTAACTCTTTACTTTCTATTTTTGGGGTTGGCGAATCCTCTTGATCTCTTTTGCTATGTTGTTGTTTTTTATGGTTGGTTTGATCCTCATTTTATTGGTTACTCTTTTGTTGTCTGCTATTGCCACTTTTGCTGTTTCCTTTTGCTTGTTATGTTAATTGCGTAATACTTACTTGATTGATCTCGAATGCTTTTTGTTGGGTCTCTCTGCGATTCTTTTGTTGACGAGATCATATCATACCTTTCTTTTGTCTTTTTCTGCTTTTGCGTCTTTCACTTTATCTCTTGTAAGAAGGAAACCAGAGTTTGTACTGATTTTCCTGCTTTATTCTCTCTCTCTCTCTCTCTCTCTCTCTCTCTCTCTCTCTCTCTCTCTCTTTCTCTCTTTCTTTTTCTGAACTGTCCATTTATTTACCAAGTTTGTGCTCTACCTGGTTGCAGAGGTAAAACCAGGAAAAAGCTTAGAAAATCACAGTTTGTAACTAAATGCTTTTGTTCATGGGCATATATTCTCATTCGGGTTAGTTAATTAAAGTATATAATATTACTACTTTTACACAAAAATTTATTCCTCATTTCTTCATTTTACAATTAGATGTTCTTTGTCATGCTTTTGATATTTTCCACCTAAGTTTTTTTTTTTTTTTTTTTTTTCATTTTATTGTTATTATTACTTTTTTTTTTCTTTCTAAATCTGTATTCTTCCTCTTCTCTCTTCCTCCTCCTTGCAAGTGATGAGGCTACAGTGAAGCTCTTCAGATGCTGCTGTGAGGAAACTTGAATACAATATCAAAGGGTGTTTTGGTGTGCAATTGGAGATTCCATGGCCTTGATATCTATTTGATCCTCGATTCTATAAAGATCTATATTCTGTGAAAAGCAAAGACACAAATTTTGGTGGTTAACCAACTGAAGATTGGACACGAAGTCTCGTGTGTTCTCTCTATCCTTGTTTTCTTCAATTTTTATTGCAGAGTTTCTGGATTTAATTATTTCAAACACTCCATTTCGATGCTTTCAATGTGAATCCTGATGGAGGACAAATAATCAGACAGATTTTTAGCATATTCTGTTACCGGTTCACATGTTAGGATTTTTATATTCATATAGCTCAATTAATTGAGTCTTTTCTTTTATATTTTACTTAACTGCAGTCTGCAATGTCTTGATTCTTTCGTACCATATATTAATTATTAAATTCATGTGTCTTCATCTGTTCAGCTGGTTTAGTTATCCAATCATCTAGCTTCTGGCAATTGTGCATTTGACCAAATAAGAAAGACCCCAGTTTGCAACCTCAAGGTGTAAATTGTCTAATACTTTTATACATGGGACAATCTTTGGGGCCAGGATTGTTTACTCGGTTGACTATACTTTGAATCTGAGTTTCATGTGAGATCTATAGTGAGAAAGGAAGGAACTTAACATTATTTTCATCTAATGTCTTCATTCTGGAACTGAGGAAATGGGGTGTTGTGTCTCAACAAGTAGTAAGAGTACTTGTAGTAGCAAGAGCAATGGAGACATGGTCTCTCCATCCTGTCTAGAAATCGGATTCTGTGGTCAAAAGCGTGCAAGGAGAACATTCTCTGATCATGTTGTCTCTCTGCACCAGTTACCATCCTTACCCAACAGAGTTTTCACCAATGGGAAGAGCCGGTCTTCTTGTGTATTTACACAGCAGGGTCGTAAGGGTATTAATCAGGATGCTATGATTGTATGGGAAGTAAGTATGTTCATCTTATGTTTGATGATGTATGATTCTCATTGAATGAAAAGAGACATAGTTAATAGAAATTGACATTCTAGTTTGGATCTTTATTTCTGTAGGATTTCATGTCAGAAGATGTGATCTTTTGTGGTGTTTTTGATGGCCATGGTCCACACGGTCACCTTGTTGCACGCAAAGTCAGGGATGTCTTGCCAATAAAACTGCTTTCATTTCTGCATTCTTCCGAATCGAAGCGAAATGGGTCAGGTAAAGCTTGTTTCAAAGGGAACATAAAGCCTGAAAGTGGAGAGTCTGAGAAGGATTTCTCTACTGAGGATGAACTGAATCCTATGTGGAGAGAAGCTTTCATGAAGGCATACAAGGCTATGGACAAAGAGCTGAGGTCTCATCCAAATTTGGATTGCTTTTGTAGTGGGAGCACAGCTGTTACTATAGTAAAGCAGGTAGCTCAAAGAGCAGCATCTCTCATCTTGTTTCCCTTTCTTTTATACATTTCTTATTTTCTTCACTTCCCAGGGATCAAATTTGTTCATGGGCAATATTGGAGATTCCCGAGCAATCATGGGATCCAAGGACAGCAATGACTCCATGGTGGCAATTCAGTTGACTGTTGATTTGAAGCCTGATTTGCCAAGTGTGTCATATGTCATCATCGTTCATCCTTTCTCTGTCCAATTTATGACTTTTGCTTGATTTTAACTTATTCAAGTTTGGATGTAAATTCTTATAGGGGAAGAGGAAAGAATTAAAAGCTGCAAGGGTAGGGTATTTGCATTGCAAGATGAGCCAGAAGTTCCTAGGGTGTGGTTGCCTTTTGATAATGCACCTGGATTAGCAATGGCTAGAGCATTTGGAGATTTTTGCTTGAAGGAATACGGTGTGATTTCTATTCCTGAATTTTCTCACTGCCTGCTCACAGACAGAGATCAGTTCATTGTTCTTGCCTCAGACGGGGTAGAGTTTTCAATCTCGTATCTATTTTTTATTTCTTCGTTCAATTTGTTTTTGGCTATTTCAGAAACTGTTTCATTAATTTTTCTCCTTGTTTAACTCTAGAGTAAATGTCAAAATGTGATCCATAATTCAAGTCACTTTCTGATGGCTAATAGGGCGTGGTGACTGCATTTTTTTAAGTAGAAATCATTACACCAGATCATGTTGTGAAAAAGTGAAATAAGAACATGTAATAAGCAGAGTCAAATTTATAGATCAGTAATGAATAATGACATTGCATTAACTATATGGTGGTAGTAAGGAAACTGGGAAATGACTTCTGAAAACCGCAGATCAAGTAGATTTGAATTCTTAACACACTTGACAGAACTATTAACAAGTTGGGACATGACCTGGGTTATTTGCAACTCTTTTCAAGCTGCATAAGTCTTTCTTGTTTAGGTCTGTGAAAGGCATCAGAATTGTCAACTATGAATAACTTATTGAGGAAGTTCTTCTCTGCATAATAATTCTATCCCTTATAGTCATTAAAAGTGAATGTAATAAAAGTGAATGTATTGAGTAGGACATAAAATGAGTTTGAATATAAATTTTGGAAAATAGACTCGTAGTTCCTGTTTAGTTTTATGCTATTTATCTTGATGCTACTATCCATCCACCTTTAAGTTTAATGTTAGCTCTGAAAACTAGTATCTTCTCCTGATGCATAGCAAAACCAATTCTCTTGGTGTTTTGTGCAGGTCTGGGATGTTTTGAGCAATGAAGAGGTGGTGGAGATAGTATCTTCAGCACCAACTCGGTCATCAGCAGCGAGAAATGTGGTGGATTCTGCTGCTCGAGAGTGGAAACTGAAATATCCCACTTCAAAAATGGATGACTGTGCTGTTGTGTGCCTTTTCTTGGATGGGAAAATGGACTCGGAATCTGATTGTGATGAACAATGCTTTTCTTCTGCAAACATCCAGAGCAACCCAGTTGAGTCAGATGATGGTCAAAAGTCCGAGCCATCTTTGCTAAGGAACTTTACTTTGAGATCCTCAGAAGAAAATGAGACCATTGGAGGAGAAGTTTCTGTTGATGTTGAAGATCGAACATCATTAGCTGAAGATCAAAACTGGTCAGGTCTAGAGGGTGTCACCCGAGTAAACTCACTGGTTCAACTTCCTAGATTTTCTCAGGAAAAGCCAAACTCTTAAGCTTTAATGTAATAGCTGATGCAACACACCACAGTGAATTCAAGAGAGAAACATCTTTCTGTGGTTTTTATGCTCCTTGTTCGGTTAATTACGTGTAGTAAAGTAAACAACTCTTAATTTGGTTCACCAAACGAAATGGATTCAGCATAATGCAGAGCGTTAATAAACATTAACCTCCCAAGAGGCAATGATATCAAACATGAATGCTGCAAGCCAGCAAGTATTGGCATCCTGTTTTACGCACAAAAATAAACTCCATCTAGGAAATTTGAAGTTCCCTTTAAGTGTGCTAAGAATATGCTGTTATTGTCCATGAGGGATAGAGCGTGACAAATTAAGTATCGTGAGCTTCGTAAACTGAACCATGATCCGATAATAACAGGCCTAAAATATTTAGGTAGTGTTTGGTTCGGGAGAAATTTTTTTTACTAGGGAAATGTAATTGATAGGAAAATGGTTGGAAAATGAGTTTTGTTGGGCTTCCTCTTTCAATGCTAAGCCCAAGCCCATTTGAGGGGTTTCCTAAAAACCCTAACCCTAATTTCCACCTCCTCTATATATACTCATTACTTGTGGGTGGAGACTAGGTCAGATTTTGAGAGAACAAATTTGAGAGAATTATTTGATTGTTTGAGCAAAAGCTTTATGCTTTGCATTTGAGAGATCTCTAGAGAGAGTTTGAGTGAAACATCTCTAGGGTAGTTTGATTATCACCATTGCTGGAGAGGTTGAGTTAACCACCACATTGGTGTATTTGATTATTTGTAACCATTATTTTCATAGTGGATTTCTGATCTGGACTAGGTCCCGTGAGTTTTTACTTCTTCATTGGAGAAGGTTTTCCCACGTTAAATATGGTTGTGTTCTTCTTCTCTCCCTCCTGTTTTCGTTTTGATTTTTCTGCTGCGCTGCCTGACCTGGTGAAGTTCAGGCTGAGGTATTACCGAGATCCGAGATCAGGATCTTGTTGATTGACTTCCGCACAAAGGCCCCTGAGCCGAGCTTGAGGGAACGGAGTTCGACGGGTTCTGAAGGAGACGAGATGGAGACCAGTGGCATAACTCATGATGGAGATATGTTCAAGTTGACCGCACACAACTTCACTTATTGGAGACCGATGATGGAAGATCATCTCTACTGCAAAGATTTGCATGAGCCCATTATCCTTGATGAGAGACCAGCAGGCAAGACAGATAAGGAGTGGGAGATCCTGAGTCGGAAGGCGGTAGCCACGATCAGGAAATATATTGATAAAAGCCTCTTTGAGCACGTGTCCGAATTCACGAACGCGTATGAGTTGTGGACGAAATTAGAGTCCATGATTCAGAAGAAGACTCCCAGAAATAAAGCACATCTGGTTCGCCGACTTGTTAAGCTTGAATACAAGGACGGCATGAGCATGATTGAACACCTGAACACCTACAAAGGTATTGTGAATCAGTTGTCAAAGGCTGATATGAAAATTGATGAAGAATTGCAGGCATTGCTGCTATTGAACTCGCTGCCAGAAAGCTGGGATACTCTGGTGGTGACCCTGAATAACTCGACTCCAGATGGAAAATTGAAGATGGATGTCGTGACAGACAGCCTCCTGGGCGAAGAATCCAGGAGAAGAGAACGAGGTACTTCGAGTACGTCTGAGGCCAACGTTGCTGAGAACAAAGGGAAATCCGACTCCCGCGGTAGAAGCAAAAGTCGAGGTAGAGGTCGTGACAGACGAGACAAGTCCAGAGGTCGGTCAAAGCCGAAATATGAGTTGAAGTGCTTTTACTGTGGAAAGACAGGCCATAAGAAGCCAGACTGTTGGACCCTACAAAATGATGAGAAGAACGGCTCTGTGAAGCCGGATCAGATTATTCCCAAGAAGAGGGAAGATAAGAGCACCACTGCGGTGGCTGCAAATCCTGATGCCGAAATATTCCTCCTAGGTGAGGATAATTATTTGAATGTTACTTATGATGACTGCACCTGGATTGTTGACTCTGGTGCCTTCTTGCACGTTACTCCACACAAAGGTTTTTTCTCCTCTTATCAAGGTGGTGATTTTGGAGTCGTGAAGATGGGAAATCAAGTGACCAGCAAGATTGTTGGTGTCGGTGATGTAACTCTGACCACAGATGTCGGATGCCGACTTGTGTTGAAAGATGTGAGGCATGTACCTGACATGCGTTTGAACCTAATCTCGGTAGGCAAACTTGATGATGCCGGGTTAGTGAACTACTTTGGTAGTGTTAGATGGAAGCTGGCCAAGGGAAACTTGGTCGTGGCCCGAGGTAAGAAAGAAGGCTCCTTGTACGTGATGCAAGGAAATATCAATGGCGGAGAAGCCGATTCTGTTCGAGATGAACCTAGCTTGGAGCTATGGCACAAGCGCTTCGGCCACATGAGCGAGAAAGGGCTACAGATCCTGAACAAGAAAGGATTACTGACCGGGTTGAAAGGCCAAGCGTTGGAGAGTTGCACGCATTGCCTAGCTGGAAAACAGCACCGGGTTTCCTTTGCGAGACCGGATCAACCAAGAAGACGAAGGAATATTCTTGACCTCGTCCATACTGATGTTTGCTCCATGTCGGAGAAATCTCTTGGAGGAGCTCAGTATTTTTGTTTCATTTATTGACGACCATTCCCGCAAAGTGTGGGTATATATGTTGAAGACTAAAGACCAGGTACTCCAATCCTTTAAAGAATTCCATGCTATGGTTGAAAGGGAGACTGGCAAGAAATTGAAGGTGGTCCGATCTGATAATGGTGGTGAGTTTTGCGGCCCATTTGATGCATACTGCAGAGCGGCCGGGATTCGACTTGAGAAGACGCCCCCCAAGACACCTCAGCTGAATGGACTGGCTGAGAGGATGAACAGAACAATTGAAGAGAAGGTACGAAGCATGATATCCAATGTCGGGTTACCAAAATCATTCTGGGGAGAAGCCGTCAAAACTACTGTTGACTTGATCAACCTCTCACCATCACGGCCACTTGAAGGAGAAATTCCAGAAGAAGTCTGGACAGGTCGGAAAGCGGCCTATAATCAACTGAAAGTGTTTGGATGCCGAGCTTTCGTGCATATCCCTAAAAATGAAAGGGCCAAACTTGATGCAAAGACCAAAGAATGCATTTATCTTGGTTCGCCGAGATGTGAGTTCGGGTTCCGACTTTGGGATCCAATCAATAAGAAGATCGTGAGAAGCCGAGATGTGATCTTTCATGAGCATGAGAACATTCATGACATCTCGAAGCCCAAAGTCCGGGTTACTGTCAGACGTGAAGAACCCATCCCTTCTGTCCGAGCTGAAGCAGGGGGAGAAAATCAAGAAAATGATGATCAGCAACAAGCTGAAGATGACCAAGACACTGAGGTCCGAGTTGATGATGAGATCCGGGATGCATTTGATGAACCGGGTTCTCAAGCTGAAGAACAGCCGAGATATCCAACTCGAGAAAGAAGACCCTCTACGAGATACCCATCTGATGAATACACTGTTGTTGCTGAAGACGGTGAGCCTCAGAGTTATGATGAGGCTGTGATGAGCTCAGAGAAAGAAGAATGGAAAAAGGCAATGCAGGACGAGATGAAGTCTCTGCACGAGAATCAGACTTATGAGCTGACCGAGTTGCCTAAAGGTAAACGAGCTTTGAAAAATAAATGGGTCTACAAGATTAAGAATGAAGAGAACGGGCAAAAGCCGAGATACAAAGCCCGGATTGTGGTGAAAGGCTGCAATCAGAAGAAAGGAGTAGATTTTGAGGAGATTTTTTCTCCTGTGGTGAAAATGACCTCGGTCCGAACCGTGTTATCTATGGCGGCTTCAATGGATCTCGAGGTAGAACAAATGGACGTGAAGACGGCATTTCTTCATGGTGACTTAGAAGAAGAAATATATATGGAGCAACCTGAAGGATTCCAAACTCCAGACCAAGAAGACTTAGTATGTCGGTTGAAAAAGAGCCTCTATGGTTTGAAGCAAGCACCTCGGCAGTGGTACTAGAAGTTTGAATCATTCATGACTGATCATAAGTTTGAAAAGACAGATGCCGACCACTGCGTATTTGTGAAGAGGTATGAGGCCGGAGATTTTTTGATTTTGTTGTTATATGTTGACGACATGCTTATTGTAGGGAAAGATAAATCGAGGATAGCCGCCCTGAAAAAGGAGTTGAGCTCGTCCTTCGCAATGAAGGACCTCGGCCCTGCAAAGCAGATTCTCGGAATAAAGATTATCCGAGATAGACAGAAGAAGCTACTGTGGCTGAGTCAAGAGAAATATATTGAGAAGATTTTGAAGAGATTCAGCATGGACAAAGCCAAAACAGTGAGCGCCCCCCTAGCCGGACACATAAAGCTGAACCAAAAGCAATGTCCGAGATCTGATGAAGACAAAGATGAGATGATGAAGGTCCCTTACCAATCTGTCGTCGGAAGCTTGATGTATGCAATGGTTTGCACTAGACCCGACTTGGCGTATGCTGTTGGAATGGTAAGCCGGTATTTGTCAAACCCCGGCAAAGAGCACTGGGAAGCAGTGAAATGGATCTTCAAGTACCTACGAGGTATGACCGACTTATGTCTCCGTTTTGGAGAAGGCAAAGCCGAGTTGCAAGGCTACTCGGATTCTGATTTAGGGGGAGACGCCGACTCGAGGAAGTCGACTACAGGATATTTGATGAGATTTGTCGGAGTAGCTGTCTCTTGGCAATCAAGACTTCAGAAATGTGTTGCACTATCAACAACTGAGGCTGAGTACATTGCCGCTACTGAGGCAAGCAAAGAGATGCTATGGATGAAGAAGTTCCTCATGGAACTCGGCCATGATCAAGACAAGTACGAGCTGGGTTGTGACAATCAAAGCGCAATCCATCTTGCGAAGAATTCAACCTATCACTCCCGCACTAAGCATATTGATGTGAGGTATCACTGGATCCGGGATGTGGTGGAAGGTGGAGAGCTCGAACTCGTCAAGGTGCACACTGACCAAAATTGGTCCGACATGATGACAAAGCCGGTTCCAGCACGAAAATTTGAAGACTGCTGTGAAGGAGCCGGGTTGATGCTGATGCCGACGCATTGAAGTCGGAGGGGGAGATTTGTTGGGCTTCCTCCTTCAATGCTAAGCCCAAGCCCATT